GATCAGGCCATACAAATGGCTTTTTCTTTTCACTTTATGCAATTACATTTTCTAGATGTCATAAAGACAAACAGAAAACTGCATTTTGCTAATGGAGACCTTCCAGGCAGCTGCAGAAACCAACAGTGAAATGCAGAAAACACTTATAAATATGTTGTAGAGGTGTCAAATTATCCGGATGCTGCGATGCTTATGAAAACGTTATGACACTGAATATAGTTAACAATTTTCCTTTAAACATCACATTTTAAAAGCATCAGTGCGTTTTCCACATTTTAGGTTCAAACATAATTTATTCTGTCAATAGGTCATTCCCATTAACACATGCTGCTAAGTGAATCCTGCTGTATTCACTGACTACATAGGAGAACTACCCCTCAGGGCCAAGAAAAGCACACACATGGGGATTTTTAGAACAACAAGTACTTTGCTGTGCAGCAGAAGATACAAGATGCTTCATCTGAACTAAAAGAAAACTCAACAGAGCACGAGTCTTGGCAGCTCAAAAGGCAGGAAGATAAAAGCCATGGCAGACAAAAGTTCAGGCAGACTCTTGCTTTATCTCTCATCAACCCTGAGATCAGCTGATGAAGTCAGGAAGGGATGAGCACATCCAACCATCCACCTCTTTTCTGTTTCATTCCAGAACTCGTAACAGAGATTCCAACCAAACATATGACATTCCAATGAACACAACTATGTTAGCTTTTCATTAGAGTAGCCACAGGAAAAATGAAGTTGACATTTTGAGTCTGAGATTTACTCAGACTTATGCACATTGAAGGCTGTGGATGCTCCACAGTTTTTTTCATTCAGCTTCTGTACAGACTTATTAGCATTCTATAGACCATCTTCTAATAGCAAAAAATGCCGTAGAAAGGATAGCACTAACGCACATCTACACCATAATGACATCAGGATCCAAAACTTGTAACTTGTGTAGTCTTGCATGCAGCCCATCAGGCACAGCACTTTGCATTTAATTGCCTCGGCTAACAAACCTATAAGTTTTCAAGATTAGAGCTGCACATACGCAACACCCACATACAATAAAACGTGAATAAGGTTTTTTTTCAGTGTGACTCCTCAAAAAATATATTGTAACACTTCTTGGCTAGGCAGAAAGAATACAGATGACAGAAAACGGTATTTTCACACACTGACTTACTTGGCAAATCCTATCTGAAAAAGGCTGTGCAAATGATGTGATCTGTATTAGTTTGTCACTGTCAAAGCCCCAAACCTCAATCAATATTTATAAAGACTCTGAATAAGAACTGAGACACTTGTCCTTTTAGAATCCAATATCTCTTGACTTGCCAGAGCTACTAAGATTGGACTCACTTTTTCAAATATTTCAAGGCTAGTAATTGCCTCCTCCCTCCCTGAGTGTATGCTCTTGGGACTCAGTGTGATGATGCTTTGCCTTTCAAGATGTTCTGCAGGTACGTCACTCAAGTATAAAGTTGTTCAAAAAATATCTCAATCATGCAAGAGGCTGGGATAAACCCCTGTCTCAAAGTTAACATACGGCTTTCAAAGCAATGTGTTATAAGCCATATACTCAATAAATTCTTCACTGAAGTACCAGGAAAAGCTTGCACTTAATCCACGTGATGAATCTGCAGAGTAAATACCAGACATGAGCAACAGGCAGTTAAAACACAGGTTCCAGCACTCGTTCATCCCTGGAAGCAACAGACGACCTGTACCCAGCGCAAAAGTTCATGAATCCTGATTCACAGAGTGCCTGGACCCAGTTCAAGCTCCTGTATTAAAACCCTCAGGACCACCCAGCAGCAGCCTGGAAGACCACAAGTGAAAACAGAGAGAAGAAGAACACATTGGATTAGAATTCGTCAAGGCTTTAGCAACCACCATGGCCAAATTTCTGCTATAAGCTGTTTTGCAGCTTATTCTCCACCAATTCTTCAACTCTTGCGTTGGCGGTTACGGTTTGTGCTAGTACATCCACACTGCTTTTGTATTGCATCCATTCTTTACAACTTCATTTGTATATTGTTCACTGCAATGAAAACTGCTTTGACTGTGCTCTCCTTTACAACTGAAAGGTGCTCAACCCACCAACAAGGGAAACAATAACACTCACAGCATACAAACCTTGGATCCATGTGGCAAAATTCCCAGGTGCCTTCAGGCAGCATGTAATATATTCTGAGGGTGTGCTGATGACAAAAGCCCACATAGATCCTACTTCTTTTTCTGCAGTACCAAGCAACAACCTCCAGCACAGTCACATACATTTTTACTGGAAAGTCCTTCCATCCCACTTAGAGCAGAGCGATGTATGTGCTTCTACACAGTACACGCTAAAGTTATACCACGACTGACCTATTTTTGCCCCCTTGAAAAACAGGAAAAGCAGCTTCCTAATGCAGAAACAGACTACCTATCATTACACCTGCTTTAGCAGTAATGTAAAAGAATAACATTTCATCCATAATTGCATCTCATTTCTATCTGTCCAGTTAAAATAACACCCAATCCATCAGCTTCACACCACCAACTAGTTACACTTCTTCCTGTCAAGTCCATCCAGATAAGCGTCGCATGCTTCCACCAACATATATTCACACCATTTTTTCTAATTCATTTTCTCATTTCACCACTCTTTCTCTCTATATACCTGGCTACAACATCCAGCTTTCCCATGTCAGAAAGTCTCGTCAGGTTTTCACTTTTTGAGCCCTTTAGAATCCATCCCACATAGTTTAGCCTGAAATATTCCACACTGCCTTTACACTCCCACCTAAATGCTCACATTGCTTGCAGGCCTTTTCAGATACCTTCCTTCTGAAGAAAAACACTCTCTCTGTAACCTTCCTCTGCCCTTTTTCCATGGATTCAGCCAGTGGTGTGGATCCAAGGCCCATGCTGAACACAGTGCAGCTACATGACCTTGCCTCCAACTTCTGAGGTAGCTGCTATGTTCTAAGAAGCTGCACAGTAAAGTCATGCCAAGATAAGAACGGTAGAGCTGAAGAGTGGGTAACATCTTTGAGATATGGACCATTAGCAGCACAAGTACTCAGAAGTTAAAATACAAACATAATAAGGTGTCAGTTCTAAAAAAAAAAAAATCAAAAAAGCCAACCAAACAACAACAACAACAAAAAAAACACACTAGGAAGCCAGAATATAGCAACTCAGCAACTCTGAGCAGCAGAGGCTGACCCTTCCCCTCCTGAGGGATGGCTGCCTGGTGTGTTAGCAGAGGGGGGTGAGCAGATGAATGCTTAGCCTAGTAGCTCATTAAAGCCTCGCTGTTGCTTTTGTGCATGCCTGCCAATAACTGTTAAACATTTTTACACTGTATATACTACCCTACCCACAGCCTCCCTTTGCACACGGCAAAAAGTACCCCAAACGACACAGAGGAACAGCTATTATTACTGGAAAACCAAACTGATGTCCTTTTCCCCACTCGAAATTCCTCTTAAACATTTTTGTCACACTTCCTGATAGAGCTCAAACAGCTGGTGAACTGCAATCACCGCACATCGCTGCAATGATCCAAATTACCTCACTGCTTTGCATATTCCACCCACCTGCTCACCCTAATTGGCTCTCATCATATATTCAGATTACGGTCTCTGCTAAAGAGCAAACTTTCCTACAGTGATATATGCAACAGGGTTTGACCGCAGCTTGCTCATGTAGCAAGTACCTCTGCCTTCAGCAGAGTAAACATTGCAAGCTCCCACTGCTTTGCCACTGTTTACCACTTCCTTTTGCTCTGCCCATGCAAGTGCTTGTAGGACCGTGAGGCAAGCCGGATAACTGGAATGATCAGCGAACGCTTATTGTTTTCCTAGAAAGAGTTATCCTGAGCCCCAAGTCCCCCGCAGCCGGGGGACAGCGCGGCCCGCAGGCAGCTCC